CCCTGACCCAAAGCGGGAATGAGGATGACTGCGAGGGGGAGACCCTTTTTGGGGACTTGTTGTCTCTCAAGATCTGTATCTCTTGCCTGCTTCCCCAGCAGAGCTGGCCTGGTTAAGGCATCACTTTGCTAATCCTCTGTGTAGTCCTCTCTGGTGCGAGGGTCTTGGGGGTGCTCCTTGCTGAGGGATGTGTACAGGCAACCGAGAGGAGGGACTTTGCGGAGAGGAGCTCTGCTGATCTTGGGGTTTGGGGGCCTTGAGTCTCAAGAAATGCTCCCCAATGAGAAATGCTTGTTGAGATCATGTCTTGAAGATGTCTGATTTGGTGGTGGCATCGTGGCTTGATGGCTTGTGGTGCAGCAGATGTGCAGCTCTTCTGGCACCTTGGGTCTGTCCTCTACATTTGTCTTCTGGGTATTTCTGTGCTCAAAGACCCAGACTGACTTTTGTAGCCTTCTGCTGAAGAAATGGGGTCACACATGGAGTAGTTTGACAGACCGGCTCAGGTGGATATTGCTGTGACCAGTCAGGCTGTCCCTGTCCTGCCTGGCTGTCAATTGTGGCCGGGAGGGAGTGCGTGCCTGGGTGTCATTGGGTTGCTGCCCCTCTGGGACCATGCTGGGCCCCACTTACTGCTGGGGAGGGTGGTTTCACAGCAGGCTTCAGCTGGGTGGCTTGGGGAAGGCTCGTGGGGTCCTGCTCATCTCGCTGCAGGAACCCCAGTCACAAGGTGACGGGGACAGCTACTTTCCACAGTGTGGAAAGTAAAGCCAGGCAGATGCGGTTCAACTAGCCAAGTCTGCTGAGTCCTATAACTGATCTTGTAAACATTTCTTGAGTTAAACCTGGTGAAAGACAAGTCCGAGCCAAGATCTTTTAAACACAAGTTGGGTCCCAAGAAATATTGTTTTACCTGGAGCTCCCAGAGGTACTGTTGTGGGTTGAATTGAAACGGTGTTGGAACCAGAGGGGAATGTTGTTGTCTTCTGCCTTTGCAGATAAGACTGAAGGCATCTTGCCAGGAGCCTGTGGGAAGGACCTGAATTGTATATAACTCTACATCATTTTAAAATGAAAAGTAAACATGCACAACCATAATATTTGCTTGTACTTGTCTCCTCCTTGATAGATGGAGAGAAATTGCTCTTTGGCTGAGTTCACCAGCAATAAAACCCTGCAGTTTACTCATCTTCATCCCAAGCCTGCAGTGAGTGGGAGGGGCCATTGTGATCTCCAGTTGAATTTGTCCTCGTCACACCCGAGGGGGAGCGCTGAGGGTCCTGGGGACTTTTATACCTGCCCAGGCCTATGGGGAATCAGGGCTGGGTGCCAAGGCAGGGACTGTGGGACTGAGCTGGGAAGGTGCCTCCTGGATCAGGGTGGACCTCATCATGCTCTTGTGGTGTTGGCGCAATGGAGATCTACCACCGTTTGGGAGAGGCGAGAGCCCTGTCTCTCTCCTGGCTGCTGTAGCTTCAGGCATGGCATGGGGGACAAGGGGTGCTGGCAGGGGCAGGAAGCAGTCCCGCTGGGTGACAGGGAGGAGGGACCCGGACTGTGAGCCACCAGCACTCTTGCTGCATGTTGGTTGTAGGCTCGTGGGCTCACCTGCACCCTCATGGGCAGCACAGGTACAACAAACGCAAGCCTGAACTGAGCATTTCCATCATTACAGCAGGAAATAGCAGTAACTTTCTCTGCTGAGCGGTGATGACAAGGCAAGCCTGTGCTTGTCATGAGCAGAGATAGGGCCATCAGGGCGACCAGGATGTGGCTGGGGTGGGATGCTGGCAGGGGCAGGAAGGA